AGAAAGAAAGAAAGAAAGAAAGAAAGAAAGGCAGGCATGTTGCCTTTGAGAGAGAGTCTGGGTTAGATCTAGACCAGTTCTAGGCCTGATAACTGTTCCAGGCCTTGATCAATGTTTGCTACATTGAATAGATTTCCAAAATAGTAGCAGTTTTAAAGACTGGAAGCATGAGGCTGGGGGAGGTTATGTGGTTTGCCCAGTATCACGGGATTGGTAAGGGTCACAGCTGGATTCATGGCCGCTCCAACCGGTGGGTGGAGTCCTGGCTCTGACAGCCACTGTGACCCTGGCTCTGGCCCGGGGCTGGGCGAAGGCCCCTGTGCTGCAGGGAGTGGAGTCCAGGCTAGGCAGGCTTACCTCGCCGACTTTCAGGTTGCGACAAGGGGCGATCTTGGTGAGATCACCATGCTCCTCAAAGATTTTGGAGATACCCATGTAGGAGAGAGTCTTCTTCAGGTCGAAGGTGCCCGTCATGTGGAGTCTGGGCACAGACACATCTACGACCCTGGGGAATTGACACGACAAGGGTGAGTGGTCAAGTCCTGTCGTGTTGCAGGGCAGGCCTCAGGATACATGACGAATGAAATATGTCCTCCCAGCCCCAAAGGTCTCCAATCTCTCTCCATCCACAGAATGAGGAGGGATTCCTTAACCCTGGGACCCTGGTTTCAAAACACTGTAAGCAATCTGAACAGCATCCCTGCCTCCCAGCACACCTGCCCCAGAGCCCTCTACAGGGAGTGTTCTCAAGTCTCAAGTCCCCCTGTCTCAGAGCCCCTTCAGCCGCAGTCACTGACGATGTCCCCACTGTAGTCACTGCCGTGCCTGAGCCCTGAGCCCATCCTGACCCTGGAATATCTGACGCTGAAGGGAACAGGGCACCCAGAATCTGGAGCTAGACAGAACTGGGTTCAAATCCACTCTGCCTCTCATGAGCTCTGTGACTTGGGGCAAATGACCTTCCTTCTCTAAGTCACTTACGTGAGAAGGAAGCTGATCATCATCTCTCCCGCGGGGACACTAGGAGTGCTAAGGCAAATGCAGGCAAGGTGCTCAGCAGACAGTCAGCACTTAGCAGGTGTCCATCCTCCTGCCCTCCAACTAGCAACTTCACATCCTCTGTGGCTGAACCGCGATCAGCCTCCTGCCCGGAGCCTGGGGCCAGGGTCTCCTGAGGTACCTGCAGACCCTGGACTCCTGCTCACCTGGCCCTGCACCCTATTTTCCCACCTACCCAAGGACCTCATTCCTGCCTATGTGTCCTCTCTCTCCTGCATCATCCTTCAACAGTGCCCCTTTGATCCTCCTCTGGCGAAGGCTGCACCCTATCCTCAAAAACTAATGCCAAGACATCTGTCTTGGCCCTGAATTGCCTTTCCAGCTTCCAGCTCATTTCTTTACTTCCCTTTGTAGCAGAGGTTGTCTCTGCTAGCTATCTCCACTCCCTCCCACGATTGCCTCAGTCCACTGCAGTCGGCTCTTTGACCTCAACTTTCTATGGAAGTAACTCTTTCCAGAGTCACCGTTGACATCCAGCCCCACATCCCAGAGTCAACTCTCAGTGAGCCGCACCTGCCAGTAATCTCTTTCCCCAGGGTGAAGCGTTCCAAGTCCACCCTTGAGGCTTCTCCTCCTTCCCCACCACTCCTGCCCCTGTCTAGCTCCACCCCACCTGTCTCTACCAGCTACGGTGCTGCTCCAAGACTCAGACCTTGGTCCCCTTCTCTTTTCCACCTTCACTCCCTCCCCATGAATGGCATTCAGTCTCACAGCTTTGAGTATCATCCACAGACCCGACGACTCCCAAATTCACCTTTCCACTAATTCATTCACTCAACAAACATTTATTAAATGCCCACTGTATACCAGGTGCTGTTCTAGGTGCTGGAGATGCATCTATGAACAGAACAGGCAAAGATCCCTGCCCCTGACTGTGTGTTCTAGCAGGGAAGACGGGGGATAGAATCAACATAGCAAAAAGTACCACCTAAACCTACATACATGTACCGGTAGTATGCAGAAGGCAGTAAGTGCTATGAAAAAAAATAAATAGGTCAACTTGCAGAAATCAGGGATCAGTCCAAGGTTTGAGCAAACCTTGAGGCATGCAAGGGAATTAGACAAATTAGGATTTTTTTTTTCCTGAATAAAATGGGCAGTCACTGTAGAGTTTTGAAGAGAGGAGTGACATAGTCTTGCTTAGGATTTAAAAAGATCATTCTGTCGCCTCTGTTAAGAATATACTCTTGGTGCTGGTGGTGTGTGTGAAGTAGGGATGCGCAAAACTGATGCTGGGAGACCATTTGGAAGCTAGCATGGTCGTCGGATGTTAGGAGCCATAGAGACAGTGGAAAGATACCAAATTCCAGATGTAGTTTCTTGTAGGCTAAAGGGGTTTCCTGACAGACGGAATGAGGCATTTGAGAGTCAGGGTGACTCCAAGGTTTTTGACTTGAGCAACTAAAAAGATGGAGTCACCATTGACTAAGATGGGCAGGCTTGGGGAGGCTCCCTGGGGACAGATCAGGACACCATTCTAGATGTGTTGACTCTAAGCTCCAATTACACATACAGGGGAGATTCTGGGTAAACAGAAAGATCCATGACTCTGGAGTTTGGGAGAGAACAGAGGCTGGGGCTAGAAGCATGGCAGTCGTGGTAATAGAGACAGTGTTTAAAGGTCTGAGCCTGTGCACTCACTCAGGAGTAAGTATAGACAGAAAAGAAGGCTGGGAATTGAGCCCTGAGACACTCACCTCTGAGACCTGGAGGAGGAGAGGAGTCTCCAGCAAAGGAGATTGAGGAGGGGAAAGGTGGGAGGTGCCGTGAGAGTGGAGAACTTGAAGCCAAATGAAGAGCACCTTAAGGAGGTGGGGACACCAACCAGCCTAACAGCGAGGCCTGAGACTGACTGCACTCTGCAACACAGACACCCTTGAGACCCTGGGAATGGAGCTGTCTGTGAGAAGTAGGTGCAGAAGCTGGACTGGAGTGGATTTAGGAAAGGATGAGAGGAACTAGGGGCTGTGAACAGAGGCAACTGCTTCACGGTGTTTACCTGCAAAGGCGGCATGACGAAATGGGGGAATAACTGGGGAAAAACAAGGGTCAAGAGCAACTTTTATGTTGGGAAAAACAAGAGCATTGAGATTTCCTGCAGGCCAGCATAAGCCGTACAGGTCGCTTGCCCAGAAGGCAGACACCTGCTTTGTCTTCTTGCATAGAAGCCTCTTCTATGAGCTGTAAGTTATCCCTGGCCCGCTACGAGGTTTCACGATGAGATGGAAGATAACAGCATCTTTGTATCTGACGGAAATGATTCAGAAGAGAGAAAAACATATACTGATGTAGGAAAGTGAGGAGAGGATTTCTAGGGTGATGTTCCTGAGTAGCGAAGGGCCCTAGGTCCAGTGCGTTAATGGGGAGATTTGCTTTCATTTGTGCCAACATGGGAAGGCATTAAATGCAGCTGCTGCTGGCAGGTGAGTGCATATACCAATATGTACGGAAATGTGTGGGGTGCCCAGGCTGAGACTGGACCCTCAACACTTCTGAATAGGACAATGGCTATTTCAAAACCACCAGCAGTTTTCTGCTCCTAAAGGTGGACCCTGGGAAATAGAGCTTTTCCTCTGGGGAAATCAGAGGAGCAGCACCTGGCCTCAAATTATGCAAATGGTTCTTATCCCTTGAGTAAAGGTGCAAAAGAGATGAAGCCTGAAAGCCAGAGAGATGGTGGCAGTGCCCAGGGAACATCTCTGTGTTGGTTGATGGTGGCTGATGGTGGTCACAGCACCGGCGCTGCAGAGGGCCTTGGTGAGGGGAACGTGAAGCCCCCAGTGCAAGCCTGAGCTGTAGCCCCATGGAGAAATCGTCAGACATGGCTTGGAGATGGGACTGGAGTGGCAGTCAGGATGGCAAGTTCCAGCAAATCAACTGCAGGGTCTCAGTGTAATCTGAGTCCTACAGGGAAACGTCATATCTTGGAGTCCATGTCCACAAAGCCTCAAGAGTGGAAGACCTCATTTCTCCATTTCTCACCTTCTCTCACCTTCTACAGCCCGAATTCGCTTAGGGAG